TTATCTGCAATACAAAATGGGCCTTGGTGTCTGAGTGGTCTAAGTAGTCGAAAACTCGAGGTATAACTAACCTGTGGTTGTGAGTTCGATTCTGGCACGTGGCAGGTGTGTTAGACTCCAATCTTAATTGACTAGGATTGTCAGTTTTCCTACCAAAGGTCGGTGGTTCTCACCGCGCACTCCGGCTTCCTCCACCAATGAAAACTGACCGCCATGAGATAGTACAATTAAAGGCTGAAAGTGGCGTTAAACACAAATCAATCAATCAATGCTAAACAAAACGTCATGAACGTTACAAAGACATTAACTACTGTATATCAAAAGAAGTCTTATAAAATTTCTTCAACAAAACATCAATGAAATAGATATAGGAAGATGTGGTATGAGTGCCAATGAGACAACTCTCCATCCAAGTTACAATTTATAAAAGTAAACCATTATAGGTCAAGGTATGGCCTTTAACACGGAGCATTGGCTCACACCGAACAGCAAGCTATAAAGGGCCCCAAAAATTACTAGTTTATAACCATTCAAACGGGAAAACCAACGGTCTAATCTATATAAAAACGAGAAACGAGAGAAACACGTATGAACTACATAAACAGACGACAACTACTGTACATCAGATTCCTGACTTAGGACAGGTGCAAACATTTGCAGCGGGATTAAACGTTTTAATGGTACCAAACCTTCTCCCTTTTCTGAAACAATTGTATAACATAACAACATAGAAAGACACACTATAAAATATCAATTGGAAGGCTTAACTCAATCAAAAAACGTAAATTAACACACAATGAACGAATAAATTTGACCTTAGACACCTGAATGCAAATACACAGTTAATAAAAATTATAAGGGATAAATAATTAAAGTCAAAAATAAATAAACAGGTTTAAACAAAGTTAAAGTATGATATCACTGTGAAATGTCAAACAATTTTTAGAAAATCATCACTTTTGAAGAAACCTGCGTCATATTATACACAGGTAAATGAAAATAATTTTGTTGTTAAGTATACTTCTTCTTCTGTGTGTATAAAATCTTCCGTTTAGGAATACCAAGAAATTTCTTTAATATCAATAAAACTAATCTAACACTTGGCACATATGGGGTAAATATCAACAATAAAACTATACCATTAGTGCTAGATTATGATAAAACTTCCTGTACAGGTGCAAGAACCGTATTTAAGGAGAAATGAACTTGATAATTTTGATGCATATAATCTTTATTCTGGTATTTCTGATAGATACTTTCTAGAAAAAGCTAGTACAACGTTCCAGTATTTCAATAGATGATATGTTTATAACCCCTTTCAAAAAAAAAGACTGACCACCACAACGGCTTTTTACTTGCAATGAATGAAATATGTTAGTAAGAAGCAGAAACAAACTAGCAAAGGTTTTATTATGCACATTTGTCATCAAATTTTTATGGACATTAATACTGTGTACACTCCAGATTCTGTGGTTGGTGACTGTAACCACTGACTACCATTACTAAAATAAGGAGAATTTCACAAATTTTTTTCTGCTGCAATTTGCAAACTGCAATCAAATTTTTCATATACGAAAATTTGTCTTCGGTCTTGTTTGAATATTCAAATGGCAAAAAAAAAATAATAACACCCCTTAGTTATAAAAAAAAAAAAACCTTGATATTTTGCTTAATAAGATGCTAAGTAGTAGTAACGATATTTGATGACACATCGTTAAATCATTAACCTATATGTTACATTTTGTAACAGCTAGATTTAAGTGATATTTGGATCACAGATACTCCTGCTCAGAGTTTGTTATGACGGTAGAATGGAATGTCATGAGTTTTTTCGGAATATCTTGAAATAAATAATTTCAATGTAAAGCAACGTTGCAATCCTGATTACATTTTATTTTGTTAGATGCTTCAAGGCCACAAACTTCTCAAGTGCATGTACAGATAACAATTACATCAGACCCATATCATATTACATGTACAGCAACAATTTTATCTGTTTATATAATTTTATATACATGTATCTTTGTAGGACCTATATATGTCATTATAAACTACAAATACTGGTATTCAAATTTTCAAAGATTTGACAAAGTTATACCCGGTACTGTAATTATAAGGATACCATGAAAGGAAAATACGGTTCAGTTCAGGTGCATAACTTATGAACAGTTATTCATCAAAAATGTCAAAATCAAGTTAACCTGTATGTTATGGTCCATGACATTGTGTTATAATTTCCAAAGATTTGGTGAAGCTGTATAGCAATTATTAGGAAAGCACAAAAACACATCTAATTATTTAGGTAACTACCAATAGGTAACTACCAATAAGGAGTATAAGTCTTGAACGATAAATGCCAAAACCATTAAAATCGAAATTGAACTGTATTTTATGGTTTAATATTTTGTGTTAAAATTTTCAAAGATTTTGTCAAGTGATACTTGAATTATTATCCTGAAACAATTCTTGTGATGGACAAATTAAGACGGACAGCTAAACGGACAGGGTAGAAGGACATGTGCAACTATATATAGCATCCCCTATCAAGGCGGGGGTATTAATACTATCAAAAGATGAACAACTTTTAAACACACGTTAAGTCACATGCACTTTTGACCAGTGTGTTTTTTTTTCAAGCAGTTGCTGACCACTTTTTCAGGTCGTGGTACATCTCCATATATCAAAACAATATTTCTATCAGTCTATATTTTCCAATTTCTTTCATTTGGAAGACACTGGTATATCAGTCAACTTAAATTGTGACTCGGTATCTAGCATTTCTATATTTCTGTATATTAGCTTATATTCCAAATGCCATATATCAAAAGAGAAAATTATTTCATAAAAATGTCCCAATTCAAACCATAAAAAAAACAATGTCCAGTACTTCAAACATTACATTGTAACACCGTACACATTATTTGGGCAACATATATTTTGTTTTAACAGAATACTCTGTTGAACTATGCAAACAGTTTTGTTTAAAAGTGAAACAAAATTATACATTAAATTACATTTGTCAATTTACCACTTAATCATTAACAAAATCCAACACAAAAAATCCCTTTTTCAAAATAAAGTAACCCGTGAATACAGATTATGACAAAAATTGTCTTTTCCTTCCTGGAAAATGCATGCCGAATTGAAAAACGACAAGCCACACAATATTTGAAATAAAAATAAGAAAAGTACACATGAATCATCACCCACAACAATAATAATATGTAATCCCCTGGCAACATTCATGTATAAGTACATGTGTATATCAAAAATATTTAGTGAAAATAGTTATGGAACTAATTTCCAAACTGAATATGTAATTAAGCTGGAAAAAATGGATTTTAGTAAAGACACTGCTTGAACATTTGTATGTGAGGAACAGAAACAAACTTAATTCTGATACAAACAAAGCAATATCATTTAGTAGGGTTTAAATTTTCTTCAAGTAAATTTTACCAACAGAAACAAATTCAGGACATGTTTTTTGACAGCTATTTCAAGTTTCATTAAAACTGAGTGGACTATTTTTTCAAGATGTTTTATGGCAGACATTGGTGGTTGACATAATTTTTGACATAAGGAATCAATTTGGAATGGTATATTAAACCTATATTTCCATTTTTTTTTTAAATCCTAGACTTAGTAAAAAATATGTTTTCCAAAATTTTAGTTTCTTGAACAAAAACGGTTTTCATTTCCATTTTTTTACAATTTAAAAAAAAAGTTTTTCCTGCTGGCAATAAATTTGAAATACCTATACTTCGATTTTGGTAAAATGATAACATAAAAAAATACTTTTTTAAATTTTTACCCCAAAACTCTTCAAATTATTGATTTGAAAAAAAAATAAGTGAAAGCACCATTTGTCTTAGATTTCACCAAAAATTATTTTGTTGTCAATGTGAATCATTTGGAATAGTTATTATACACATATAATCATTTTCCTTGAAATACTAGCACAAAAAGATGTTTCTCAAGAAAAGAGATTTTTTTTACTTTTTTGTGTCCCCCCTTCCCCATATCATTCTTAAAGAAATAATTTTGACATCTTGAATCAATCTAGAGTATAGTGAAGCATATTATACCAATACATCCGTTTTCATTGAAATCCTAACAAAAAAATGTTGTTTCTAAAATTAGTGATTTGATACAAAAAATAGTTTGCATATTGACATATTTAGCGCAACAACTTTGCAAAGTTCCATCTGTGTCGAAGCCATCATTTTGTAGTTTTTGCATTAAATTTTTTTTTTCAAGATTTGTGATTAAATAATAAAAATGACCAATTCCAAAAATTAATTGGTCAATTTCTCACAAAAAAAATAATAACAATATGCAGATCTACATATTACGTTAAACAACTGCGGATTTTTTTTTTTAACTGGCCTCTTATATGTACCCATACTTTTGGATTTTTTATGTTTACAAAATCAATTTCTCAAAACTTGTGATTTTAAAGAAAGCCAACATTCCCCCAAACTTACATGCACATCTACATGTATTTAATGCAAAATAACTATGGATTGTTTTATTAATATTGCAATTATTGCTTTATTTGTGTGCTATTGTCATCACTGGTAACCTTGTAACCTTAAAGAGGCAACTGAGCTTTATAAGATATAAAGTACATGCATGGCTGTGTAGTTCATTAATACTATTTTTAATTTGGTAATATTAACCATCACTTGCTACAACACCAATGTGAATCAAGTGCAAAGGAACCAAATTTTATTGAATGCAGTTATGTTGCAAGAATTATTAATTAAGGCGTCTCATCCAGGATGTGGATAGTTGTATCTATCTGTCAAACAATTTTGTAAAACATGTTTGTAAAACTTAAATCTCCCAAAAGTATGCTGAGGATGCCAATGAAATTTTACATGGTAGTTTTGCATAATATGTTGGGGTGCATATTTTTTTTCTGTAAAAATTGTCCTAATTGCACACAAATTTTGAGAAATAGATTCATGTGTTGAAGCAAAAAGATAGGTAAAGCTCTGTATTAATAAAACAAATACAACATCATTTTAGTCCATAGTAATTATTTGAGAAGGATAAGTCGTAAATTTCAAATAGTGATAAATCTTCTGGTAGAGTGACGAATTGTGTTCCTCTGGGAAGGGTCATTCTACAGATGCATGTGTTTGCCATAGGTAGAAAGGACTCTGTGCATTCGGTAAATAAAATTGATGGTTCAATTTCGAAACCAAGGAGAGGTTCTTGGTCATTTCCTGTGACAAATTCTAAAATACTCTCTAGATTTAAGGTTCCTCTCCGTCCAGCTGGAAAATAAAAGTGTAATATTTCACTATTATATTTTTTTATTTTCATTTCATTTGAAAGTAAACAAAAATTGACACACTAAAATGTTTTGCATTTGAATACACTTTGTCTTCAAGGATATCAATTTCACACCTTAGTAAGATTTTTGTATATTGTTTTTGATAAATTAAAACATAACTAAACTATTATTTCTTATATGCATTTATGAAAAATGTATGGTTCTATACATAATGTGTACTGTCATATTATGTACTTGTAATTTGACATGGTCCAAAGTCATGCTTTCCTCAGACTGTTTATGACATCTGTACACTACATCCATTGGATGTGTACATATTGATACTTTGCATAATTTTTTTATTAGTTGTTATTAGCTTTGAACTAGTTTTCAGTAACTGCGAGTAATCTAGACTAGATTGTACTCTGTGTCTTTTGACTTAAATGTTTTTTGGGGATTTTTTTTGTGTATCATTCTGATCTGTCACAAGTTAAAAATTCAGCCGTTTTCAACTGATTTTTACAGTTTGTAATTATGTTGTGCTGTTTCACCAACTCCCATTTTAAAGGAGGGTTGAGCCTTTACGAACATTCTATATGTGCCTGTCCCAAGTCAGAGGCCTACAATTTATTGGTTGTCATCGGTTGTTGTCTGTCATATATAATTGTTTTTTCATTTTTTTTTTGTCATAAATCAAGCCGTTTTTTGAATGAATTTTTTCCTGTTTTGTCATTTTTGGGGCCTTCCATAGTTTACTATAGGGTATAGGTTTAGCTCATTGTTGAAGGCTATACTGTATTTTTATTTTGGATATTTTTTCCCATAGCAACTACTGATTCTGCTGACATTAAAGGGAAATAATTTATATTCAGTCAGTGTATGATAATTTACAGAAGAATCTATATGATATATACAACTCTTTGCTGATTTTTCTGATTATGACCCTTTAATATTCTGTTTTCAACAAAACTTCACGCATTTAACAAATAAATTTACACATCAGATAATATATTAATAATAACGGAAGTAATTTTGAAAACAAATGAATTTTAAAATGTTAATATGAAAGTTGATGTGGGTCTCATTGGGGTCTAAGCGTGACGCGGGATTGCCGATTTTTTGTAAGCGTGACACATGAAAGTCAAACTATTGTTCCGTGAAAAGGAAATGAAGTGTAGCGGGACAAGGAAAATTAAAAAAAAAAATGAGAATTGGTTACGTGCATAGTGTAAGCGGGATACGGGAATCTGACAAAACAGTAAGCGGGATTCAGGATCAGAACCCCCCCTCCCCCCCCCTTCCCATGAGACCCCCATTGATAGCACAGGTACGAAATTTGAAAAAAATATATGTATCAATACTAAATACTGAATAAAAAATAGTGTATTCAGTATATATACATATTTTTTTATATTTCAAAAATAAATCTGGTTTGATAGTTGACAGAACATAAAGATTTTGCTGATTATAAATAATGTGAATTATTTCCCTTTAGTTTAATATTAGCAGATTAGTACTAGCTATAGAAAAATATCCAAATCAAAATTACACAATAACTTTTTGTTAGTCTTGAAAACAAAGCAATGAATTATTTACAAATAAAACATTGAACTAATAACTTATAAAATGTCAATGAGATAGAAGTTTTCATATCCAATTCAAACCTTTTTAAACCAGTGTTGCTTATAATAAAGTACAATGTAGATGATACTTTTATTTTAATGTTGACACAGCTAGACATTATTTAGTTGGATGTGGATGGTAAGCATTATTTTTTTTCTGCTACTAACAACCTTACACTGAAGCAATGAGCTAAAATGTTTCACCAGTTGATCAGTGTGTAGAGGTGCTTCAAACTGCGATTTGGAAAAAAAATAGAAATTGGTATTGTGATAGGGCAAAGCCTACTGAATAAGCACAGTAATTCAAAGTTTACATAGTCAATGGAAAAAATGATGGCAATGATTCCCATGGCCCATTGGCTCAGACAAGCTTACAAGGACATATAAATATTTGCTACTATTTTACCACTAAACCACATACCTGAAACTTCCCTGATGTATCTCATGAAAGATGAATACACATTCTTCTCCAGTGTTAATCTATTTGAACCTCTTTCACTAAATTCTGGCTTCAGCAATTGAATGAGCTTTTTAACGGTTAGCCTTGGTGAATTGTTGCTGAAGATATGTCTCAATGTTGGCAAATTTCTAACAGCCTGCATAAAAAAAATATTGTCAACGGAATATGTATGATGTTGTAAGCCAAAAATGCAAGAGGGGGAAAGAGATTATGTGCAGAGAGAAAATTCCTTTCAATCAATCAACCTAACTTTTTCAATCATTGTGGAAATCAGAAAAGATTGTAACAGAATTCAAGTCTTGTAGGATTGTAGGTTTGCTTTATTTTAACACTTTGCACTTTGATGACTTGATTTTGCAGTTGGTTTATATTTCTGACATGATAAAACAAATTGCAATTAAATTAGGTCAGAATTTTTAATAAACTGCAATAACTGGAGAGAAACACTTATAATCAGTTCACTTTAATAAATTCTACATTTTTTAAATTGTCCGTTAATAAATTTTAAAATTATAAGAAACTAAGGTATCAACTCCCTCAGGCAAAGTTGACCTTAGATGGATTTGGCTATTTTTTTAGTGTCCTTTTTGGTTATATAGGTCTTCAACTGTTTCAGGTCTTATACATCCTTGGTTTGAGCATTCCTGATGAAGGTAAATCCAGAAAAAACGCTTTCGATGCATGAAATTTATAAGGTGTTGTAAGCAAAAAAAAGAAATTAACAATCTGTATGGCTAAAATTTCTACCACAATGAACCTCTTGGCAAATAACAGCAATGCAGATTAACAATTGTCCTTTGCATTTGGTACAGTACTGTGATCCAATTTGGATAAAATTTTTTGTCAATTTTGATTTTGACCCCTACAGGACTAATCTCAAGATTCTGAACTGAAAATAAAGTCGATCAGAAACCAAACTCTTCAAGTATTTGAACATGTAACCCAATTCTCAAAGGAATGCATTGAAGTAACGATTTTGTATTTTGATTTCCTTCACAGTCCTCACAGTAGGTCTAAGAGTATCTTCAACAATGGATACTCTCAAAGATTGTGGACTTAAATATAGAATTCATGACAAAAATCTCTTTTTTTTATCTTGTATTGCTGATCAATTTTTTCTGTTTACAGATTTTCTCTATCTTCTTCAGTGTTTGCCCAAAACACAAAAAAAGGGTATAAATTGTCATTTAAGGGCAATCACACCTATAAAGAGTGGCACTCATACCACATCTTCTTATATCTATCTACTAACGATTTCAGCAAACTTTGACTTATTTGTAGATCTAATGTCTTGCTGATCATTTTTGTTATTTACAGTGGCTATATCTATAATAATTCAATTGCAAGATAAGAGGCAAAACGCTAAAAATGGTTAAAAATCGTAATTAAAGAGCGATAAGTCTAATTAGGAGTAAAAAATTTCGAACCATATACTTATTTGTAGATCTTGTCTTGCTGATCATTTTGCTATTTAAAGTTTCTATCTATGATCTATTATACTTTTTCAGATATTAGACAAAAACGCAAAAAAATGATAAAAATTGTCATTTAAGGGCAATAACTCCAATTAAGAGTCCTCTGACGATTTCAACCTTATTGAACAAGAAATGATTGTAACAGGATGCTGTTACGAAGTCTCCCAAACGAAGCTCCCATATTTCGTCATTCCCAGTGTCGCCTGACATCACATAGTCCAGTGAAAATTGGTTTGGTTCTGTATAGTTATATGCATTAGTGATGCCTGGGGACTGACCCTGTATATCATTCAAATCTTCTTGACATGAAGAATAGGACTACATATGGTTTAGGGGTGGGGATCTCGACCATTTACAAGATATTAGATCATTGGGGGTGGGGGGACCCCTGGGGACTGATCCTATATGTCTTTCAATCTTTGTGACATGACGAAGAGGAATATATATGGTTTAGGGGCGGGGATCTCAACCATTTACAAGATATTAGAACTTATCAAATGGCAGGGGGTGGGGGTGATCCCTGGGGACTGACCCTATATATCATTCAAATCTTCTTGACATGAAAAATAGGAATATATAGGGTTTAGGGGTGGGGATCTCAACCATTTACAAGATGTAAGATCATAGGGGGTGGGGGGACCCCTGGGGACTGACCCTATATATCATTCGAATCTTTGTGACATGACGAACAGGAATATATATGGTTTAGGGGAGGGGATCTCAACCATTTACAAGATATTAGAACTTTCTCAAACGGCAGGGGGTGGGGGTGACCCCTAAGGACTAATACTTTATTTCATTTGATGTGCTGTATCATGACTAACCAGAATATATATGGTTTAGGGATGGGGATCTCGACCATTTACAAGATATAAGAACTTTCTCAAATGGCAGGGAGTGGGGGTGACACCTGGGGACTAATCCTTTATTTCATTTGATGGACTGTATCATGACAAACAAGAATATATATGGTTAAGGGATGGGGATCTCGACAACTTACAAGATATTAGAACTTTTTCAAATGGCAGGGGTGGGGTTGACCCCTGGGGACTTACCCTTTATTTCATTTGATGTGCTTTATCATGACAAACCAGAATATATATGGTTTAGGGGTGGGGATCTTTACCACTTACAAGATATTAGAACTTTCTCAAATGGCAGGGGGTCGGGATGACCCCTGGGGACTAACCCTGTATATCATTCAAACCATCTTTGCATGATTAACCAGAATATATATGGTTTAGGGGTAGGGATCTTGACCATTTACAAGATATTAGAACTTTCTTAAATAGCAGGGGGTGGGGGTGACCCCTGGGGACTAACCCTGTATTTCATTTGATGTGCTTTATCATGACAAACCAGAATATATATGGTTTAGGGGTGGGGATCTTGACCATTTAGAAGATATTAAAACTTTTTCAAATGGCAGGGGGTGGGGATAACCCCTGAGGACTAACCTTTTGTTTCATTTAATCTGCTTTATCATTTAGAACATTTTCAATTAAAAAGATTGTGTCTATCACAAATGGTTTTTAATTTATAATCATTTGAAAATTTAAAAAAATAAAATCCCATAGGGTTCTATAGTAAAACCCTCCTTTCTTTTTGCCCCTCAAAGTACCCCTTTACAAACCCCAATGCACAAACAAAACCCTGATTGCACCACTAGACATGTTAGTCTAACATATTGTGAAACCCTAAGTTAATCGGACAAGCGGTTTTGGAGAACGGGTGCGGACAAGTTCAAATTTAAAAGCGGCGGAAGAGGAAGAGGAAGAAGAAGAAGAATAATAATAAGAAGAACTGAGCAAAAACAATAAGTCTTCCCAAACTTCGTTTGGGAGTCTTAATTACTTGTATATCTTGTCTTGCTGATAATTTTTGCTGCTTTTCTATTATGATTTTTTTAAGATAGTTGGCAAAAATAAAAATAAAATTGGTAAAATTTGTCATTTAAGCGCAATAAACCCTACAAGAAGTCGTTTGACAGTTTTGATGTAAAAGGACAATAGGTAGATCTCATCATTTTGAACATTTCTGCCTTGTCAGATTTTCTCTATTTATTGTGATTTTCAAGATAAAAGAAAATACTTGCATTTTACCCCAATGTTCTATTTTTAGCTATGTTGGTTAACAGGTTGGGTTATGGGACACATTTTTTAAACTAGATACCCTAATGATGATTGTGGTAAATTTTGGTTAAATTTGGCCCAGTTGTTTCAGAGAGAAGATTGTTGTTAACAAAACAACGACACTGGACGCTCAGTGACAAGAACAACTCACTTGGCCCTTTGGGCCAGGTGAGCTATAAACGGAAATTGGTTTGAAATATAATGTGCAGCCTTGCTACTGGTTAACAATATAGTTCTACACATTTTAATGACAGACAAATAAGACAACAGTATAATCAATGGAGTGGACACCAACAAATTAGCTGCCAAACTCTGAGAACTGACATAGATCTACAGAATTTGACAAACATTTTAACCATAATAAGCATACTGCAATTGGCTAAATGTTCCTTCTTCTTTTCAATTTGCATTTTTCCATCTTAATGTATGATTCCATCATTATGTTTTGTAGGTGGTTTACTACAATGCCTACCTCGACAATACCAAGAGTATCTAGTCCTTCTTTTAAACTGCATATGCATCTATTCTCCTCTAAATTCAAGGGTTCATCGCCAAAAATTTTATCAAGGGTTTCTGTATCCATAAATTGGGGAACCTTTCCGTTTTGGAGAATGCTAAGGGCTGCAATGAAATTGGCAACATTTTGAAAATCTTATACATTTAATACAAAAGAATAGCCTTATACTTTTCCATTTTTTGACCCATTAGATATGCTATCAAATCACTCTCATTATCAAATGTTAAGTCTATTTGAATTTATATAGCAATTTAAACCAACACAACATGATGCTAACCTGAAAGGTTTAAATGAGAACCAGCATTGCCCTAGGTGATCATCAGAGGGGGATGAATGCACCCTTTTTTCAAGGGTGGCAAGAGGATATTTTGGAGGTTGACTATTCATTTTCATCTGTTGCTTTGCATGCTTATTTTTTTCGCGGCCAGCATGAAAATTTTAAAAACTTTTGTAAACAATTGTTTCCTGCATTAATGTTGCAGAATTTCCATTTTCATCCTGTCTTAAGCAAGGTTACTTTACTTTCAACTCTTATCAGGTCAGGATATATTTTCAAAATCCTACTGCACAACCTATAAATCATTATGTTTATGCATATTGTTGATATTTTAGTCCATTCCCAATATTTAAATCAAATAAATAACATTAACACATTAAACAACAATTGAAAATGTGTTTTCTAGATTGCAGTATAAAGACAATAATTGTGCATTGCCTTGACATATCAACGATATAAGGATTCGGCCCGAAACATGGAAAAAGCTTGGCAGAGCCTCGCATTTCCCCGTTTCTAAGCCTCATCCTCATATCGTTGATATGTTAAGTCAATGCACTATTATTGTCTATGTATTATAAGCTGACATTGGTTTATGCCACAGTTAGTGAGTTGATGGCATATAGGAAACGATTAATACTTAAGTACACATTACATCTTGGGTTCCAAAGAGTCCACAACGTTGGCAGACTACCAGACTAGTAATGGCAATAGCAAACCTGTTGCACTTAAATGCATATAAATATGATATTTGAGTCATTCAGTACTAGTAAGACAATCCTAAGGCCAGGAGGACACATAATGTCCCTCTCCAATTGTTAAAACCAAAACATTATGCATCCTCAGCTAACACTTACCAAATAACTTTCCAATGGACACATAAACATTGGCTCTCAAATCACGAAATCCATTGTCAAAATACTTTTTCTTAATTTCTTGAAGCATTAATCTGAAAAATTCTTTCCGTGGACCACCAGCATCTACTGCCATCTGTCAAAACAAATCATCAAGTGAAAAGTTAACTGTTAAATATTCATGTTTAATTGTCATTTACAAATTTTGTAAAATTATTAAGGATGGCATATAGATATTTATGTCTGTATGGTCCATGTATTCTTGCATTCATTTGTTTTTCTCTTTGAGAAATCATAACAAAAAAACAAAAATGAAAAATGACATTTGAATTCAATTTCTCTTTTATTTTCTGATTATTGGAATTATACAACAAAATATGCTAAAATAAAGAGGTTCTTATGTTGTACTATTACACCACTGTCCCAGGTTAGGTTTGGCGCCAACAATCTAGTTTAACCCCCCCCCCCCCCCCCCTCTTTTCTGTATGCGCCTGTCCCAAGTCAGGAGCCTCTGTAATTCAGTGGTTGTCGTTTGTTGCTGTATATCATATTTGTTTTCATTCATTGTTTTTTTCATAAATTAGGCCTTTAGTTTTCTTTTTTGAATTGTTTTACATTTGTCATTTCGGGCTTTTTATAATGACTATGCGGAATCATCATGGGGTTTGTTCGTCGTTGAAGGCCGTACGGTGACCTATAGTTGTAAACTTCTATGTCATTTGGTCTCTGGTGGAGAGTTGACTCATTGGCATTCATACCACATCTTCTTATTTTTATATGGTAAATAGTATATTATTTAAATACTACATCGCATTAATAATGGAGGTTTCTAAGTAACTAATATGGAAAGGGGGACAGGAGGATTTTTTGCATATATTGACTATTCATTTTCATCTGTTGGTACGCATGTTTATTTTTTTCAGCGGCTTTGCTATGCAATAATATATTTTGACCTTTGTACGTTAATTGTTTTTTGCATTTTGTATCGCAGAATATGCATTTTCATCCAGTCTTATTTTCAGCTTGCCCATAAATCACTCATCGGGTAAAATATGCCATATCTATATGTTAACCTATTCATTCACTCATGTTTGCTTATTTGTAAATCTTATTTATTGGCATTTTGTAGTTCTTATATTGATGATCATTTTGACTATTTACAGATTATATCCATTTATCCATTTATTTAAGTTTTTGAAACAATTGGTTTAATAGTGGAAAAAACATGTCATGAAAAGGCAATACATACTATAAGTGTTTGGTATTACTATAAATTTTCACTTCGTACTATGAACATCAAAATTATTTATTTTGTAAAAATATTTCCATTCTCTATTGGAACTGTACACGTATACCTAACAACAAAATTATTTTCATTTACCTGTGTTTAAAGTTATTGCAAATGGCTGATATTTTTGTTCGAACATATTGTTTTTCTTTAATTGTTTAACTTTTCATACCGATATAACATGTTACTTTTATCATTCTTCCCTCAGTTTATTTATTTTGTATTTACATTGTATCATAGGTCAAATTTATTTGTTCAGTGTATGTTCAATGGTGTTAATATGTCCTTTGATTGAGTTAAGCTATTTCAGTTGATATTTTATAGTGTGTCTTTCTATGTTGTGATGTTACACTATTGTTTCAGAAAAAGGGTGAAGGTTTGGTACCATTAAAACGTTTAAACCCGCTGCATTTGTTTGCACCTGTCCTAAGTCAGGAATCTGATGTTCAGTAGTTGTCATTTGTTGATGTGGTTCATAAGTGTTTCTCGTTCCTCGTTTTTTATATAGATTAGACCGTTGGTTTTCCCGTTTGAATGGTTTTACACTAGTAATTTTTGGGGCCCTTTAGAGCTTACTGTTCGGTGTGAGCCAAGGCTCCGTGTTGAAGACCGTACTGTGACCTATAATGGTTTACTTTTATAAATTTTGACTTGGATGGAGAGTTGTCTCATTGGCACTCATACCACATCTTCTTATATCTATATAAGGAGTCTGTTGACTTGTAGATCTTATTGAAATGATGATCATGTTTTTGGATTTTAAAAGTTTCTCTCTTACGGTGTATTTTGAAGTTGCTAGCTAGGCTTGTTTGACCTGGGACTATTACACTGACGGGACTATACTAATCGATCTGTTGAGATGTTTCATTGTTCCGATATCAGATTATTGACTTTTTGTTTCGATTGACAGCTTATCGTGTTATGTGGTTAATTATTCCTCGATACATGTAAACAACACATTTCGACGTATAGAATACCGTTAAAATTGGTGAATTTAAAATAAAATAAAAATATATATATATATATATATATATATATATATGTAACACTCCCAAACGTGTCCTTCCCCCCAAACGTGTCCGATTCCCCCAAACGTGTCTATTCCCCCAATACGTGTCCGTAATAATCAATGTTGCCCAAACGTGTCTGATTTCATAACCCCCAAACGTGTCCGACAATTGTTATTCCCCAAAACGTGTCTATTGTTAAACGCCAGAACGTCTCACGTCTTTTAGCGCTAATAAATGTATGTCCTAAATGACATAATAACGTTTACGGCAATTCTATGATGGGGGACACAGTTGATGAAGTGGTCATTTATTATCATTAGATTGTGCAATGCCGGTTGTTAATGATGATCATAATTTCAAATTTAATCTGTAACATATGAATTAACTATTGACTGAAATTGTTTATTGTTCATTTGCAAGTATTTCATGCTCATTTAGAGCAAACATACACATAATTTTAGTACAGTTCAATTAATCGTTTACTAAGTGAATTATTTTGTACTAATAAACTCCGATGATGCCTTTTATATTTATCCGAATATTGCACGGTGGGCTTTCAGCAGAATTGACTTCCCTTTTTTCAACAGTTCTTGTATTTTAAAAGCTCTTCATAGATCATAAACTGGTTATCAGATTTTTTAATAAATTTTAGGTTTCGAGCATCACTAAAGACACACAAACAAGAGACATAACGTCCAGTGCCAAATATTTCATGCATTATTTGAACGACATCGTGTTCACAATAAATACTGTAGAAAGGTTTTATTATCATACTATCATTTAGGATTAGGCCTAAATTTTTACGGTTATTCGGGATTAACACTAGTTGGGATTTTAATCTAAAAAAATTATTTCTATTTTTAATAATTTAATTTTGGATGTAACGCGTCTGCTGATTGGCTGACGTTGTTTTGTTTATCAGCTCATAGACATAATTTAGTCATGTGACCGTGACGTCATCAACGTTTTTTCATTGTTTACTCCGGTTTAAAATGGAATTTAAAATTAAATTATAAGAAATAACTGTAATATTTTATCTGTCTATTCGAAATAACATAAAAAAATGTGATGCACACTTTAAAATAACCCGCTACGCGGGTTATTCAGTGTGCATCACATTTTTGATGTTATTTCTTCATAGACAGAAAAAATATTACAGTTATTCCTTAAATGAAATAGTCAAATGAGTTTAAGGGCATACGATACAGTAGCAGGGGCAGATAATAACGTTTTCAAAACTTTTCGTGTTGTTTTCGCGACGTTGTTAATCAGAACGTTGTAATTTCGCGATGTTTCTAATAAGAACGATTACATTTCGCGACGTCGCTTTAGATGTAGTCACATTTGCGGAAAATCCACTGACGTCATAATCCCGATTGCGCGAATTTGAAAAAAGTACCTGCAATGAAAATCGGCCAAATCACGAGAATTGTTATATTTATTCATTAATAAGGAAGTCAACAATATTAACTTCGAATTGGAAAAAAATCAAATCCACATTCTTAACTTTGTATTTCTGTTATTTCATATAGGAAATGAATAAGAGATATGAAAAACATTTATAAGACGTCGATGAGAGAGAAACCCAACTACACAAAAAAAAAAACCAAAACAATAAGTAATTTATATAGTAACTTCACCATTTTGCTCACAAAAAAACGTAATAAATAATGACAGCGCATCTTACTGTTCCTGACTTTGAAAAGGTACAATAAAGTACAGTTATAAGCCCCGTATTATAGCCCCAAAACAAAAACGCACCCGTTGATGTGCTAAGCATATCCTCTATGTACATATTGAGAGAGAAAAATCAGCACACAGGAATTAGGTATTTGACAGACCAGAGTTTCAACTCATTGATGTTAAGTTACTGAACAAATACGAAGTCTTTTTGTAAAGTAGTTTCTCAGATAAGAAACAAAATATTTGTTGGACCGGACAAACAATGTGGTTGCTCTCACTCCTAGATTGAAGGTATAATACAGACAAGTTATTCAATGATAATATGTACCGTAATAAAAAAAAATACCCTGAAGACAAGCTTAGGTAACTTATCTATTGATACAGAATCATTAAATTTCATGCTCTTATATCGACTGCTGTATGAAATGTTATACTACACTGTAATGGACTAAGCTGACCCGATTTAATGTGGGTATGATTTTGTGTTCATGTAATGCCTATAGAGTAGGTCGTTAGTTTTCTTGTTTGAATTATTTCACATTTTCATGTCGGGGCTTTTTAAAGCTGACTATACGGTGTGGCATTTTTTTTTATTTATTTTTTTTTTGTGTTGAAGGCCGTAGGGTTAGTGTTAATACCTTTAATAGCGTTTATCTTCGTCATTTGAACTATGGTTGATAGTTGTCTCTTTTGCAATCATACCAAATGTCCTTATTTTTATATCATCCCCCTTACTTTATAATTGTTGCACATTTTGTCATGTCGGGGCCTTTTGAATAATTAAAACTATGTTCAAGCTGTGTTGTCTACATGAATTGTATGACTAATGTCGGAAGTGCAGAGATGCAAATTAAATTTTTTTTATTATATATATCTGTTTTGTTTCCGAATATTTCTTTTCTAAAAGTAATTTACTAGAATACTTTTTCTATCCAAGTTTCGTAACAATTCACAAAGGTTTGGCAAATATGATGCTATTTACGAGGAGCCAGCTTTATTAATTTTCATGATTAATATCATTGGTTTAAAAAAAACACCTTGGCTCTACTTTTGAAATATTGACAATGTAGTAGTGAACGGCGGGAAAGATTTCACGACGTTGTTGCGAATAAAACTTATTCCAACGTAGTTTGGCGCCTTATTGTCAAACG